CCCTCAGAAGTGAGGGTGGCCTGGGACCCCCACTTGCAACTGTTGTCTGAAGCGAGAGCAGCCTTGTGGACGACCACGCCCTTAAACCTGTGCCGTCTGACGCTGACTCCAAGTTGTTAACGCCAGGATTGAATTGCAGTCCACCCAGTTGGGACGGAAACTGGGTAGACTGACTACGAAGACTAATCAATGAGACCAAATAGAGGGATAATATATATGATTGGCCCAGCTTGGATCTTTTTCCCACCCTGGACCAAGCGACTGTCACGCTTATAAACATAGTGGCACCAATGACAACCATGAGAATTTAGAAGGGAGAGGCAGTTCCTAGACAAGAGGAGCTGGGTAGACAGAGTCCTTGTGCTCTTTTCCCACCGCTCAGGGCTTCAGCAACTGATCAATTATGTCACACATTTCATTGCTAAATCTAGTCGGATCTGCAGACGGCCCTCCTGGCGCTATGGATCTGTGTGGTCATTCCATGCGGCTGGAAAGTACACGCAGTGCTCAACTTCCAAGGTTAAAACATTCAAAACGACAAGCAGAACATTTTTCGGTGGCTAAAACATCTTTTATTAAAATTGAGAGTTTATAAATAGTAACTTGATCTCATAAACAACCGGCTGTAGGGTCCACGTATCTAGAAAATTATTCAGTGTTCTTCTCAAGTGTATATTTTCTCTGGCACAGTACATAAGTGCCCTCCTAAATACAGCCCTGAAAATAAACGTAAGATCTATTCTGGCATCATATGTGCAAAACAGAGGAGTAGCGTCCCATGTGGCATGGTAGCAAGCTATAATATGCTTACATGGAACTACAGGCTTGAAGAGCTAGAAGCATAAAGATGAGCAGAGTCCATTTTCACCGGCAAGGTACACACAAGAAAGAGAACTCTTTCAGCCTGCCTGCCACTGCCTGCTGAAGCCATCCCTCAACCCCCATGCATGTCTTCTGTATCTCGCAGCCAACCTTCACGTCTTAGCTCTTAGCCTCTCTACTGTAGTTGCCCGGGAAACTCTTTCAGAAGACCACGCAGGAATGGAGAGCACAGACTGTCTTCCATTCTCCTTCGCCCTCAAGACCGGCACAGGGCCTAGGGCATAGCAGGAGTGAGGGCAACACCTGCCGTGTTTGCATTGCTGGATGATCTTTTGCAAGCGGCCTGAACTGTCTGAGTGCTGGCTTGCTTGTGGGCAAAACGGAGGTAATTATAATCCTGACTTCACTGGGTTGTTATGAGGACCAAATGCCCCGTAAATGCTGCCGTTGGTGCTGTTGATAACTGAGGCCCAGCCACCAACCATCATTCGCTGATTAGAAGCCATCAGACCCAAAGCAAGTTATTTATGGGTGAAGAAATCACAGGAGAATGCTTCACAGGAGGTCCCGGTCACTGCTCTCAAAATAAGCGGCAGAGGGAGTCTCGCTGCTCAGCCATGCCCTTTCCTGTCTTCTCTGCAGACGTCGGGCTCGGATGGCGTTAGCGTTTTAGATACACAGCAGCTCATTTATGCATTCGTGTTCGCCACTTGCTATTCGTTTGTTTTTATCAAGTCAGCAGCCTAATTCATTAGGAGTCAAATATTGCAGCTTTCGTTTACTTCATGCTACGTGTTTAGAGAGTTTATTACCCTTTGTGATACTGCTTACAGACAGACTCCGGGCGCTTTTTCTATGTACCCGATTAAACCACTCTGCTGCGGGGCACTCGGCACGCGTCAGCGGCCCTTCCGATACGCCAGCTGTGCTCCCTGCCGCTCCCTCCCCTCTGGCCTGAGATGTCGGTCAGTAACATAAACCCATCATCAGAAGCCAACTGTGGCATATCTAAATTAAAGTTTATCATTCGGAAATTGTGCTTATGCTTAGACACTTTGTGGAGATCAAGAATCATAGTATCCCATTCATGCCATGATCTTTAAAGAAATAATTTTCACTTATAGATTAAAGCACACACACACACACATTTTGGGAAGAACAAGTATATGTGAAGTTCCAGGAGGGCAAATAAAATCTCTTTTTTAAACAAAAAGAAAAAACAAAAACAAAAACTTTAGAAGGATCCTTTAACGTGCCAGCAGAGAGTTCTGGAAAGTACTGCTACTAAAGAGGGTGGCAGATACAAGCCAAGAATTTATACTTAACCCTTGAATAAAGGAAATACTAAAAAGAAAAGAAGTCACATTCATCAAAGATATGTTTTTTTAATTAGGAAAGGTAATACCATTCTTTTGAATATTTTTGGCAGTGGATGAGAGGGAAGCTCAGCAGTTAGAATTTAAATGTATTGTGCTGAATAAAGGTATTTGACACTTGCCAACTACCGAATTAATTTGACATAAAAATCGTAGTTATTTGAACTATTAAATTGCATAATTAGAATTTATATTGGTTTGAAGCCATTTTAGAAGCTTATTAATCCAACATGATTTTTTAAAAAATATCTCCCATCAAAAATACTATTCCTAATGCCCCAGAGTGTATTGAAACAGGGAGTAAATTCTCTGCTACCAGAAAGGCACCAAAAGCAGTTTCCTTGGAAACATGTTGGTAAGGTCCCTACCCCTTCACGAATTCAAAAGTGAGTTTGGTACCTAAATCACACATTCCATTCTTAATTGAGATTATAATCCTAAATCTTTGCTCCAAACAAGTTCTTAGGAAATTATAAATGAGGGTCTATTTATTTATGACGCAAAGAAAAATGTCACAATTTACCGTTGGTGACCGCAACTCCGGCGTCTCACGAGTGGTATGCTAAACATGTCGCTTCTTGAGTTATGGCCAGCTAACATTCATTTTGTGATATATGAATATCGCCAGGGAAATTCAGAACCCTTCAGCCACTTATGTAACACGTTAATATTCCCAAGTGGTTTTATTAAAAGTGCCAGCATTGCTCCCCATTAGGAGTTGTCATGCAATGTTTTATTTTGATATTTTACTTCACTGATTTTCATCATAGTTTCCTACCTTGGTTCCAGACACCATGACTGCATTCATAAACTCGCATATAATATGCATGTGAAATCATATTTCCTTCTTGGACGCATTAGCAAAATTCCATCTGTCTGTTCCTTTTTAAACTGTTAAGTTTTCCACATCGAAAACGGAATTGGGTTACAATTACCTACTATGACTTCTCATCAAAATAACATTTTTTAAGTTGTATATAATACTGCTCCGTATTATCCCTCGCCTGAGGAGTTTAAAATACTTCACACACCCAGATATTTCTACAATAAACTTGAAAGCATATTAAAGCATTTTAAAGTTGAAAGGAATTTTTAGAGATTTTTGTTTTTAAAGATTTTTTTTTCTGGTCTAATTCCCTCACTTTCTCAGATAAGCAAGCTCAGCTCAAAAAAACTGGGGAAGAGGAGGGTGTGGCGGGTGAGGACGTGAGCTCAAGGCGGCCAGACTGCCGGGGTGCAGATGCTGCCCCCCCACATCCTCGCTGGGGGACTTGGCGAGTTGTCTGTGACACTCCTCTGTGTCTGCATCCGTGAGGTTGTGCACAGCCTACTTTGCAGCGCCACAGTGAGAATTCAGTGAGCAAACACGTCATCGCCGTGGAGAAGAGTTCTTCCCCATTCTTGTGGTCTCGGTGAGGAGGGACCGCCTTAGATACCCCTGGCTGGTGACTTTGAAAGGGAAGTCAAGGTCGTGTAGCCCAGCCTCATCCCGGCTCCTGTCCTGGGAGCAGCAGCTGCCCACAGAATGTTCCGCCTCTGCCCTTTTCTGCTCCTCCGAGATCATTCTCCCTTTGGAAAACCCACAGCGGCCCGGCGAGGCTGAGGCTGCGTGCAGAGACCTGTCGCGCCCCAGGCTTCAGCCTCTGGGAGCCTGCGGCTGCCACCACGTCTGCATCTGAGCTTTTATCGGTCATAGGGTGACGTTCTGTTCTCCGAGGGACCGCTTTTGCTTTCCCTCCCATCTGGCTCAGGACTCTGGGGAGGACGAGATGCGGACTCAGCCTCGGCGCCTATCAAGGGCTGGGTGGAGGAAGAGCGTGCGGTCCAGGCGCGCCACCGGGGACGCTGTGCGGCCCCGGGAAGAAGGGAACCCTGCCGTTCGCGGCCACGCGGGCAACGCTGGCGGCCGCCGCGTTAAGTGAAACAAGCCAGACACAGAAAGGCAAATGCCGCACGCTCTCACTTACGTGTAGAATCTAAAACAATTGAATTCACAGAAGCAGAGAGTAAGATGGTGGTTTCAAGAGGCGAACAGGGAGATGTCGGTGAAAGGGCTCCAAATCAGTCAGACAGGAGAGCTGAGTGATCAGCGTGTAAGAGGATGGATATGTTGATCCGCTCGATTCAATCATCCCACACTGTGTACGTGCACGCTAGCATCACTTTGTACCCCATAAGTATATATGACTATAATTTGTCAATAAAAATAATAATAATAATACAAAGAACTCCGGTAAGGAAACCCATCAATGAGCCCCTTAAAACACCAGCATAAAGCACAGAGCTCAGACGGTGCCTGGCACAGGGTGAGCGCTCAACAAACGTTAGCTGTTTCCTTCGTTATTTTGTCTTGTTCCAAGTCACCTGTTACCCTAGCATCAAAATTAATATTATAACCCAGATCCCTTAATTACAGCACTAAACTCTCATCTATGGACAGAAAAAAGGAAGCTTTGATTATTTAATGCCTTAAGAGCACATGCTTCTAACTCATAGCTCTTCACATCTGCTTACCCACCAACGCTACGCCCTATGTAAGGCAAATATTAATGGTATATATTTGCTAAATAGCATTTGGGACCTACAATTCAAACAGCAGTAATTTATATTTTTACATAGAGTACTTAAATCATATCTTTATATTTTGAGATACAAAAATAAGGAAGTAAAAATCCAAGATAGCCACGGCTTTTGCTTCTCAAATGAATAAACTCCGTCACTTGGAGTGTTCCGTTTACCCACGCTGTGTTTCTCATCTTTGTAACCTTTGAGGCTGTCATTTTCCATTGAAATTTGCTATTCGCCACTTCCCACAATTAACCATCTACGTACCCTGCATAGACTGTACGCACAGCTGGTATTTTTGAATTTCTAGGAAAGAAAGGGCTGTTGCGATAGTGTGTAGGCAGCAGCAGCATTTTCGGTTCTGATAGATCGCAGCACACACTGGTGAGTTCCAAATGAGCAACTAAACCTTCATCAGTCCTCTGGAGGCTCACCCTCCCTCAGCGTCCCCCACCGCTGAGCTCGGCCCAGAGCAGGTGCTTTGTCTGTGCAGACTGTCTGTCTTCTCTTTTCCACCCCAAGAGGCCAATGGGCAATGGAGCACATCATCCTTTGCCTTCTGTCCCCCAGCCAGGGGACCCAGCAGGACAGCAAAGCAGAAGGAAGAAGAGCGAGGGCGGAGGCTGCGTTCCCCTGACTCTCGCTCTGGGGGCCCCTCGGGCTGCCGTGTCCTCTGCAGAGGCCGCTGCCTCTCTCTACTGCTTTCTCCTTCCAGGTTTTGGGACCTGTGCTCCCACTTTGTCCCTTTGGGCCCAGGGGTTGTGACAGCTCCGCTACTGCTGGCCCTGGCAGTGCAGCACTATCCCTGAGGCTTCCCTGCGTCCCCGCCACACCTTCGTAAATAGTCGCACCTTTGTAAATTAGACGCTCCTCAAGTTCCCCACGTCTGCTTCTTGCCCCCGACTGACGCCTTTGCTGAATGACGTGAGCACGCCCTATAAAGATTTATTTCATGCATCAGATGCGTGACCATAAAAGAGCACCTCAGTAGAGAATCCTATCTAATTTTAGTGCATCCTATGTAGGAAGTGTGTCTTTATATTTTAATAAGTACAAGCTGAGCATCTCTTATCCGAAAATTCAAAATCCAAAATGCCCCCAAATCCAAAACTATTTGAGTGCCAACGTGATGCCACAAGTGGAAAATTCCACACCTGACCTCCTGTGATGGGTCACAGTCAAAACTTTGCTTTAAGCACAAGTTACTGTATTTAAAATAATACATAAAATTACCGTCAGCCTATGTGCACAAGGTGTACGTAAAACATAAGTGAATTTTGCACTTAGACTTGGGTCCCACCTCCAAGATATCTCACCGTGTACATGCAAATATTCCAAAATCTGAAACCTGAAACACTTCTCATCCCAAGCATTTTAGATAAGAAACACTCAGCCTGGGTGTCCTTCCAGTCTCAGTTTAAATGTCCCTTCTTCAAACCTGTGTTTTCTGACCCCCGCTCTTTCCCACAGCGTCTTGCTTCTCTTTCCTACTACCTGCCTGCCAGCTCTTACCTGGTAGTGTCTGTTGCCGTCCTTGATGCCTGTGGCCACTAGACCTTAAGCTTCACGAAGGTGGCGGTGTTCATGGTCTTCCGCGCTGCATCCCTAGCAGGGCACCTGAAACGAGGTGGACCCCCAATGAGCGGGTGCTGAGTGAGTGGCTGCATTAAACAAACAGACGAGAGGGACAGGGGCCGGCTAACTCCTCGGCCAACTCCTGCGCAGCTTGCCCTCCCCGGCCTCTCCTGGGCTCATTGCCCACCCAAGTCCGACTACTCCGTAGCTCCTCAGACCTCCATTGGTCTTCCACTTCTATCTCTTTTATAAGTGAGTGCTGCTTTCCCAAAATATAAGTTTCTAGAACATAGAGTGTGTGGCTTAGCTTTTATTACCCCCCCCCACAATACACTCTACATAATAAAATCTAAGACTGAGTCTGCCCTAGGCCAGGGGCTCTCTGAAATGCACGGGGTAGGGCTGACAAGGGGCTCAAAACAACGTGTCAGACACAAGCTGTGACTCATACCTCACTTCGGTTATGAGTCCTGGGTCGTATATAATCAAAGGTCTTTCAAGCCCTGAATCTCATTCTAGATCATTCAACCACATATTTTTGGGCTGGGATAGAAATGCCCCTCACCCACAAAATGTCTAGATCCCAAATCAGCAAAAACATAAAACTCCTGAACAATGTTTTAAGTTGACTCCAGTGTTCCAGAATGTTTGCTGTAGATGCGACGGCCACTTGGGAATTCCACTGACAGGGTGACTATTTCTCCACCTTAAAGCTTTGTCATTTCTCTTTCTCTATCCTTCTAATCAGGAAATTGTACGTGCAGTTTTCAGGCAAACCCAGCCTCCAGGAAGGCAGAAGAAACAGCACAAAGTCTGACAGCCGTTGTATTCTCAGCAAAAAATCTGAGTTCAGCATAATTTCAATCATATGTTTAATTATCTAATTATTCCCAAGTAACTATTTTTTATTGACTTTTCGGAAACCTTCTTTTGTTTGCATATCCTCCTACCCTCGCTGAAAAAATAATAAGCAATTCATAATATTTCAATAGTCAAGCTAATTTTGGAGTTGGATGACAATGTGTGAAATAAAGTACCCATCTAAATATGAAGATATTCTTCTAAAATAGAAACTTGAAACTTTGAGAAAAAAATGTATTGGGTTTATTGCATTCCTTTGTGTTTTATCTTCTTTCTGCTTCCCACACAAATGTGCTCCTTTGGAAGAGAAATTGATGCTGTTTAACCTGCCTCGACAAGATTTGGCTTCTTTGGGAAACTTCTAGATAGAATGACCAGGTTTAAGCACATCTTCGGGTTTGTTTGGCTTGATTTGTGACACCCACAAACAACATTTAACTTCTTGCATATTTATCAAAGTTAGGTGCTGTTTGAATATACCTTGGAATGAATTCTTTCTTACCCAAGATCAGACTGTATTAGGCAAAATGCTCAAAAAAGCAAAAGGTAAAATTGCCCAGTCTAAGAAAATAATAAGTTCTAAAAGTCTTCCTTCTTTCTAAAAAGAAACTGCAGAGTGTGTGTAAACATCATGACAAAGAATACAGAGGACTGTCCCATGGTGACACTGTTTAAAATGTGACATGTTTGAACTCTCCACACACTTGGTGAACTTCCGGAAGGCTCTACCAGTCATAATTAACCACTTAATGAAATTTTACTGGGGGAAAAAAAATTACAAGCTATATTCGAAATCTCTTTAAGTCTGAGGGAGCAAATTCCAGGAGAATGATTGCCTTCCTATATAAGAGACGGCCACAGAAAGGCTCAGAAACAAATCTGTCCCCAACAGCTAATAATTCACCTATTATCAAACCCACCAGAATCATAATACCTCAGTCCCAACTGTGAGCCTGCAAATATGTGACAAAACAACTGATGGATTGCAGTGACCGGCCGTAATGGTAACGCGCCTTGGGATTCGGCCACTCCACCCGCTCTCCGTGTGAGAAGAATTTATGAAGATAACATGACATGCTAATATATTTTTACAGCTTAAACAAGATATCCCATGCCATTTTGGAGCACCACACATAGTTTATCAATATAGCTCCTAAGACCTTTATCCTCTTTTGTTCCTTTGCTGTTGCACATAATATAATTACCGAAAAAAAGGTTAAGACTTGACCAGTGGAAGCATCTGAACCGTAGACAGAAAGTCGATTTTTCCCCCTTTCTTCCTCTATTTTTGTTCTATTCATTGTTTCATTTTGGGGATTTTTGTTGTTTTTGTTGCAATCGCCTCGACACAACCTTCAGCCACCGCAAAAGCATAAAAAGAACTTCGAGTGGCTTAGGAGTGACCTGTGGAAAACCTCGTGCTCCTATCTCGTTGTAGCTGGGTCAGATGGCAGGACAGACCCTGCAGCAGCACTGGCTAGAATTCAGATATCTTTCAGAGGGAACTCAAGGTCACCACCTTTGAAGGATAAAGCTATTAGTCCGTAGGTGGAAAACACCCCAGCGCTGCGTCTCCCCTAGCTGCTGCTGGATGTCAGCTCTACTCCCGAAAACTGTTTGCGTTCTCGAACACAGGTTGCACAGTTAATTATAGAAAAGTACTTCAGGCTTCTCCGCTTAATCATGTTTAATACATAGAAAATGTATTCTGCTATATTGGGCAGCCAAGAAGATTCCTACAAATCGAAATGGTTAATATATGCCAGACCTGTCACTGCTCATGATAAAAAAAAAAAAGAACAAGCAGCTAACGTGCGGTGGGTATCTGCCTCGCGCAGTGTGCTTTTCCTGAATTAGCTCACTTAGTCCTTATACAACCCTAAGAGATAGGGATTATTATGATGTCCATTTTCTAAATGAGGCAACAGGCTTCTGGAGTTTAAAAAAATTTCCCAAGGTCAAAAAACTAGTAAGTGGAAGAGCTACAACTTGAACTTGAGTCCATCTTCCTCCAAAATCCATGCACTTGAGAGTTGGGCTTAAGTTTCTGCAAAATTCCTATGTACTTCATGTTGTTAATATGCATTTAAAATATTTCAAATATTAATCACACACCAGAATAAGATTTAACGATGTCACAAAATCTTTTAAAATTAAAACAAATATGAACAAAAGGCTTCACCAATAGGAAGGCTTCACCAATTTGTTTAAATATGAATGAAAGGCTTCATATGGTGAACAGTATGATCTCGGGAAATGTACTCAAAACTGTACGCTGCAGTTTTCTCATTTGTACAAGGTTCACAGCGCTATTAAACAATCAGCGAGATCACATACATCAGGTACATAATAAGAACCCAACAAATGGTAGAGTTTTCCCCTTTATTCCATTTATAAATTTTCAATATTTATAATAATTAACATAAAAAAACTGCCTTACACATATTTCCCCTCTTTACACCTTGCATGCAGTGAGCAATTTTATAAACGTCTACTAAAGAAAATGCTAGATCAAATGGGGACATCAGGCAGGTGGGAGGGGAGGAGGGGATGGGTAAATTCACACCTAATGGGTGCGCTTTGCACGGTCTGGGAGGCGCATACTTGTAGCTCTGACTTGGGTGGAGCCAATGCAATAGATGTAACCCAAACATTTGTACCCCCATAAAAATTCTGAAATAAAAAAAAAGAAAGAAAGAAATGGAGTGTTTCCAGTAAGCCTTAATGGAAAAATATTATCTAATTGAAACTTTAGTAATTACTTCCTCCCTTTGCACTTTGTCAATCGGGAATGTGTACCTAGAATGACACTAAACTCAGATAAAGTTCATGCTCTTAGATCAGGACATAGCACATTGTGAAGCTGAAACTCAAAATAAGCAACCCACAACGGCTGGCTTCAGCCATCTGCAGAACGACTCACCTTAAGGAAAATCTGCAAATACGTTGCTGGTGGAGAACAGCGTCTCTTAAGTCCTCAACAGGAGGCCGGAGAGCTGCGCTGTCCGGCACAGTAGCCACCTGCCGCGCTGACTGCTGAGCACTTGACGCGTGGCCCGTCCAAAATGAGAGACGCTCCAAGAGCAAAACACACTTTGAATGTCCAAGATTTAGTATAAAAAGAACGTAAACTTTCTCACCGATAATTTATGCTGACTACAGGTTGAAATGATATTTTGGATATATTATTATATGTAACATTAACATATATAATATACATTAATGCATTTTCATATATTATTAATATTAACTCCACCTTTTTGTTTAGTTTTTAATGTGGCTACTAGAAACTTTTAATGATGTGCCCTTTAATTATTCACATTATATTTTAATTGTTCGGTGCCGGTTGAGAGTGTTTACCAAATCTAACTAAGATAATTTAAAAAATAAAATATTTAAGGCTGGGCACGGTGGCTCCCGCTTGTAATCCTAGCACTCTGGGAGGCCGAGGCGGGCGGATTGCTCAAGGTTAGGAGTTCAAAACCAGCCTGAGCGAGACCCCGTCTCTACTATAAAAATAGAAAGAAATCAATTGGCCAACTAATATATATATATAAAAAATTAGTGGCTCGTGCCTGTAGTCCCAGCTACTTGGGAGGCTGAGGCAGGAGGATAGCTTGAGCCCAGGAGTTTGAGGTTGCTGTGAGCTAGGCTGATGCCACAGCACTCACTCTAGCCTAGGCAAGAAAGCGAGACTCTGTCTCAAAAAAAAAATATTTAGTGAAGAGAATATAAGAGGTAGGTAAGTACGGAGTCAAGAAAGAGATTGAAAGTCATTCAGTGCATCTTCAGTCTCGTCCAGAGAGGGTAAATGCTGACTTTTAATGACCAATGTAGTTTATTGAAATACAGTAAAAAAAAAAATTATTTTTATCATTGTACTAGTTTGCCAGGGCTGCCATATCAAAATGCCACAGGCTACGTGGCTTAAGCAGCAGAAATGTATTGTCTCACAGTTCGGGAGGCTGGAAGTCCAAGATGAAGGTGTTGACAGGTTGGTTTCGTCTGTGGTCTCTCCTCAGCCCGCCGATGTCTTCCTTCTTGTGACCTCACGTGCTCTTTCGTCCGTGTGCGCGGACGTCTGTGTCCCAGTCTGCTCTTCTCGTAAGGGCAGAAGTCAGGGGGGATTAGGGTCCGCCGCTTATGACCTCATTTTACCTTAACTACCTCTTTAAAGGCCCGGCCTCCAAATAGGGCATCTAACTAAAGCAGGAGGGTTAGGGCTTCGGCCTGTGAGTGCTGAGGGACACAGCTCAGCCCTAAACAGCCATTCCGTTTTAGCAGTTTCAAGGGAAATCCACTAAGAACACTATTCTTTGTTTTGGTTATAGCAACTTT